AAACAAGGCGTCGTAGCTCATAGCAGATGACATCATAAGGAATGACTTTAAGGTGGGGCTCTACCAAATGAGTTGCATAAGATAGATAAGTGAAACTTGTAATGTTAAGAACATCAACATCTCGACTTGACATGGGAAGGGTTCCCTCACAGGGAGGCCGTCCAGTATGAGAATGTTTGAGTGTCACGTTTCCCATCGGCTACTAAACTGACAATAAGTAAGCTTCATCAGGTAGTGGTTATGGAGCTTTGTGTAGGAACTGTAGAATCTTCAGTTGAGACTCCTCCAATCTGCACACTCGGTCTTTAAGAGAAGAACCATATATGTCTTTATTGGTAGGATAATGTCTTTCAGGGTGGGAAGATGAAGAGGCAAGCACCATGGGCTCCATGACTGATCCCTATAAAGATGGGTGTCGGAGTGGCATGCTCCGTTATCACGAGTATTTTGTCTTGTGGTTATGTAGCGAGCCTCACAAGTACTTCGATGTTGGGATTATAGATTCCCACAGGTGGCGCTAAACTAATTCGAGCTAAAATATTCATGACAATAGACTAAAAAATTATCATCTTAGCGTTGCATGAGAATCCAACACACACTCAAAATAAAAAAAACAACCATTAGTGACATTAGAAGTTTTTGCATTGAAAACCAATAAAGGAAAAATGGCTACGGAGCCTGGCCCAGTTGAAGAGATCCATTATACACTGAAGATTAGAAGTACAACCTTTTGTACCACGTGCAACAAAGGGTTATAAAGTCTCCCGAGTTACAACGTTGATGTGGGAAGGAAGTTGTCATAAGAAATAGACGGCTGGTGATTGACAAGAACCGATAAGTAGTGTCTGACGCTGCTCGACGGTGATTGACGGTGATAAAAGTGTTGCTAAACTTCATCTCCTTCTCAAAGCTTCAAGCTCTTCCTCAGGCCTGAAGCTCTCTCTCTTTTTTACGAGAGGGGTAGGGTTCTATTTATGGAGTTTATGGTGCAATTAATGCAGAAATATGAACCAATTTGATCAGACATTTTGGATAGCTTTCTTTGATCAAACAATGTTTGATGGACATTTGAGTGCCTTAGTGATGTCATAATTAAGAGACATTCGGCTGGTTTGGTGGTTAGCAGTGATAAGTGTGATGTCAAACTTCAACTCCTTCTCAAAGCTCCAAACACTTCCTCAGGCCTCAATCTCTCTCACATTTTTAAGAGAGTGGTAGAGCTAGAGTTTGGAGCGTAATTAATGCATGAATATGAACCACTTTGATTGGACGTTCTGAAGAGTTTTCTTTGACCCGACAATGTTTAATGTACATTTGAGTGCTTTAATGATGTCAGAATTAAGAGATCTTAGGATTTTTCGATTCTTCTTTTCATGATGCTTGATTCGACTATAAGGTTAACAAATTTGACATTCATTTAGCCTTTTAAATATGCTTGGAAAGCTTCTAAAAATGTTTCAAAGGCTTCATTTGACTTGGATTAGACTAATTTTGGTATCATTGGGTCATTCTCGTGGAATCAGTCAGTTTGACTATAAGCTTGTTGAAATCGGAGCTATGGATGACTCTTAATTGAAGATTGAATATTTTTTATTCAAAAGATTGCATCGAGATCCGTATCTTGCATCGAGATAATAGAACAATAAAATTTTTTTAATGGCATATCAGGTGCTTTATCAAAAATTAATGTAGATATACACTTTAAGGATAACTCACATTAACACTCACAAGATGATAATTATCTAAAACACTCCAAGATATTCTTATTTATGTGATGTTCTATTATATATATTATCACATTTCGATGTATATATTATAATACTTGGTTTGTCTCATTAAATTAGTAGTTATAATGAAATGCATATTTACTATTAAGATGGAATTGTGCTTGATATATTAAAAAATAGTATTTAAAAGTTGTGCAAAGCTATAACTTTCTCTTCATATAAAAGTATTGCTTCTTATGCCCATAAGTAGATCATTATTGAAGACTAACTCACTCTATTTTAAATGTAAATTTATAATCAGTGGAACTTAATAGCTTAATCTTTTTGAATGAATGAGAAATGTTAAGATATATTCAATTGTCATTATGGCTATTAAGTGAATATGAGAAATATGTACTTACACAGTGTTTGCCATTATTGCAAATGAATTGATTTAAAAAATTAGTTTATAAACAATAAAATATGACGTTGAATGATGTAAGCTGTTTTCACTTAATCAATCATCATATGCATAAGGTGAGGCTTATTAGTAAATTTAATATATGCACATCATGTATAAACCTTACAAGTTATTTATAGTCTATACTCTCATTAGTGGTGGAATCAAAAGGCTTAGGAGTTCCACTCTTGAGTTTTCAAAAATGGTGTAACTATATCCAAATTAAAAATATATATATATAATAATTCTCTTTCAATTATGTATATTATAGAAGCTTCACCTCTCCTAAATTCAAGGTAAGCTCTTTCATACATTATCATTTAAAAAATTTGTTTCACTACCAATGCTTATTGAATTACAAAATTTTACAGTAACATTGCTTGCTATAAGTTGAGCATTCTTGCTTTACTAGTAAAATGTGCTATAGTTGCAACGCTTTAAGGAGCACTACGACATACAATTGTTACTTAAAGATTTCATACAATATGCACATATTTGATTTGGTTCTAATAATGTTGAGTCATGCTAGCATTACTCATGTTTAAAATGACATATCACAAAGGTTCCTACTAAGAAAAATTCTCAAGAATATTTTTAAAAAACTCTTCAATCACCTTTCATTATTTTTAATATAAAAGTCCTTAAAAAATTGTCTTACTTTCAACCAACACCTAGCCTCTCAGTTGATAAATATTCACAAGCATGCATTAAACCCAAATTCTAATAATATTTAAAGATTAGGATAAAAAAGCAAAATTGATTTATCTATTTAGCCTTGATGAAGCTGTTTTTAGGATCATTAAAGGAACTCCAAGCATATAAATCGTTTTGATTTCTTCAAAGGTAGGAAAAGCCCATAATTCTAACATTTCAAGGAGTAGGAAAGCTAAAAAATAAGAGTATGTCATAGAGTTGGAAAGTAGAAGATTGAAAACCTTTTTATGATTTTAGGCCTCATAAATTTTGGGTATTTATTGTAACAATAATTCAATTTTATATTTATAAAATACTTTTAGAGGCGTATATTTTTATAAATTCTTGTTATGATCTAATATAAATCTATTAAAAAAGTCTCTTTTTTTTTTCTAAAGTTTAGATTTTAACTCATAACAGTATGCATGTTTTTCATTTTCTGACAATTTCTTCTAAATAGTTATTATTATAAAAAGATGTGACTGAAATATGTTTAGTTTTTTTTTAATCATGATTAATACTTTAAAACTATAACAAAAAAGTTCCCATCATACATACCTTTTTTTAATAAAACCTATACTTATGTTTTAACAAAACCTTATTCCCACATTCCTCAAAGAAAATCATTTATCTAAAGCCAACAACCTCCAAATTACCATAAAATTGATTAATTCATTTATTCCTCCATAGTAAAGCTAATTTTTTTTATTTCTACAAGAAGATATTCTTTTTGCATGGAATGAGTGCAATTGACTCCATTCCTCTCTCTCAATATCTCCTCCCAATGAAAATTTATTCTATACGGATCAGACACCGCACTCAGCTTGCATGCGATGTCCGATCCGGACCGTAAATCACATGTTCTACGTTCCGGATGTATTTCGGTGGGCCCCACCTTAAATTTTTTTTTTAAAAAAAGAAATAATCCTGACCGTAGATTACCGTGATCTCATCCCTCATGCGCCTAAGAATTTGAGTAACACACAACACTCAAGGGATTTGAACCCTAGACCAGAGGGGACTTATAGCTGATAAGCAAATGTCAAACTAACTTATTTAAGTCAGATCTCCTCTTCCTCTGCCTTCTCCATGCCTCCCTCATCGCCTTCCTATTGCTTCTCGCCATTTCGGTTCTCTTAGTCTGTCTTCTGTCGGCCTCCATTCTTCTTCTTCTCGCCATTATTTTCGTGGAAGTTTTCTGCAACTTTGAGATGTTTTCATGCATTTTTGGTTCCTTGAGAGATGATCTCAAGTTGGGAGCAGTGTTGGTGTTGTGTGCAGTGATTGATAGATTGATCAGTGCTAAGTTAGGTTTGATTCTGTTGATTCAAAGGCCGTTGAGACGATAGCCAGTCGAAAATAGTTTGGAGTAATTATTCTTTTTTATTTTTATTCATTTTTTACATTTTGAAATCATAGCATTTATACTAAAATATTTACATATCTAACACCTAAATTTTATTTTTATATATTGGGACATTTACATATATACCACTCGATTCATATGTATTTACATATACGGCTGTCAAAACGGCTCGTGTTTGACTTGTTCACTAAGTTAACGAGCCGAATAAGAACAACACAAACAACTATTTGTTCTTTCGCGTTCGGCTCGTTTTGACTCGAAATACCACTAATCAATGTTCACTAAGTTAACGAGCCGAATAAGAACAGCACAAACAACTATTTGTCCTTTCGAGTTCGGCTCGTTTTGACTCGAAATACCACTAATCAACACACACACACACACACACACACACACGTTTCATGAGTAGTATTTTTAAAAAAATTAATGGAAGGACACAAAGATTTATAATAAAAATTATTAAATTAGATTCAAATGATGTTTTAAATTTTATCTCAATCCTCAACATCTTATGATTACATGATTAGAGTTATCAAAACGACTCTTTATTTGTGAACGGCTCGTGTTCGGCTCGCTAGGTAAACACGTCAAACACAAACACACTTTTTGAGCTCGATAAACACGTCAAACACAAACACATTTTTTGAGCTCGAAATATAAACGAGCCGAACAGGAGCTAAGCCTGGGCTCGCTCGTTTTCGGCTCGTTTACACCCCTATTTAAATATCCAACATTTAAACTTTACGTTATATATTTATTAGACCCAAAATTTTTTTCACAAAGGGAACTGAAGAATGTTGTACAAGGATTCTTTCTTGAAAAGAAAGGAAGGAGGGAAACAAGCTATTGGCAAGCTCATGGAGCTTCCAGCATGAACCAAATTAAGCAAATCCAAGCCCACGCCCTCCACCGCGGCGCTGACCAGACAAGCCTCCTTCTCGACCTAATCCTCGGCATCCCTAACCTACCCTACGCCCGCCGCCTTCTTGCCTCCCTCACCTTCCCCCCATCCACCTTCCTCTGCAACAAGCTCCTCCGCGCCTATTCCACCTCCTCCGTCAACTTCCACCTCTGCATCTCCCTCTTCTCCTCCATATGCCGCCAACGCCACAGCCGACCAAACCTCCATTCCTTTACCTTTGCAATCTCGGCCTGCGCCACCTCCTCCAGCCCTCTCACCGGCCGCGCCCTCCACGCCCTTCTCTTCAAGTTCGGATTTTTGCTCGACGCCTTTGTCTTCACATCTCTCATCCACATGTATTGCAAGACCGGTCATCTAACTCTCGCACGCAAGCTGTTCGACGAAATGTATCAACCTGATATCGCAACTTGGAACTCCATGATCACTGGGTATGCAAAGAATGGTGATCTTGCTAATGCACGGAAGCTTTTTGAGAAAATTCCTGTGAGGAATGTGATCTCTTGGACTTCGATGATTTCTGGGTATTCGCAAAATGAGATGTATGAGGAATCCATTGAAATGTTTATGAGGATGTGGGAAATGGGTGAGGTGAGGCCGAATGAGGTGACCTTGACGAGTATTCTCCCGGCTTGCGCCAATGTTGGGGCCATGGAGTTGGGGGAGAAGATTGAAGCTTTTGCGAGGGAGAATAATCTTCTAAGGAACGTGTTCGTGGGAAGCGCATTGGTGGAAATGTACGCAAAATGCGGTGATATTGATCGTGCAATGATGGTTTTTCGTGAAGTTGGGGAGCGAACGAATGTTTGCTCATGGAATTCGATGATCATGGGTTTAGCCGTGCATGGGAGGTGGAAGGATAGTCTTCAACTCTTCGATGAGATGAAGGTATACTTTCTTTATTCTATAAAATCTGGTTTATTTTTTGTTTTTGTTGTTAGATACATGCCACACAATTCGTATATATTTGTGTATCTAGCACTTAAAACATTTATATTTACATACATACGGTTGAAATCTTTAACATCACATTAAACAATTAACACCATCATTACCTTTTTGAAAGTGAAATGCATTTTTTCATGCATAGGTTTATGACACTAAGGTGTTGTAAATATAAATATCAAATTTTAGATGTTAGATATGTAAATACATAAGAATTGTTTTGGTATATGTAAAGTTTCCTACCTTATAATGTTGTTAATTTTTACAACTAAGCAACGCTTATTGATGGATTCAACAAATTAATGACAATCGCTTCCATAAGATTGATGATGGTACTAAATTTATGACAACTATCTTGTGTGGACTTAGATACATTTAGGACAGCTTTTCTTTGCAGATTGTTGTTGCTTTTCAATTTGACTATAATTTTTGGTTACTTTTTAGAAAATTTTATAGTCAGGAGTGTTTGCAAGATTCCATTTTGAGGTCATTGTCTTCTTCTTAAAGAGTTTTGCATTGTATTTGGTTGAAGTTATAATATTAAATCCTAACCTTCTTACAGTCCCCCACTAAAAAAATGGGGGCATTTACATGCATGCCACCCAATTCCTATGCATTTTACATATCTAACACCTAAACTTTGATTTTTACATTTATACCACTCAAATCTTTAAAATCACATAAAAATTATCACCATTTTAACTTTTAAAAAGTGAAATACACCTTTTCATACATAGATAAAGTGGTATGTATTTAAAAATTTAAGTTTAGGTGATAGATATGTTAATACACAAGAATTGAGTGGTATGCATGTAAATCTTCCCAAAAAAAAAAAAGAAAAGAAAAGGCAATATAATAGCCATAAACATTTTAAACCATCACATCAAAATCTTTCATTTCTTCTTTTGCTAGCTATGATTCTAAGAGTTGCTTGAAACATAGGAGTGGACCTAGGAGAAGTCTAAGAGGGCAATTGAACACCTCAAATTCAGATTTTTACTTATATGAGAGAGAAATTTGGCTTTTTGACTTACTTGAAATATCAGTTTTGACCCTCCTAAAATATCATTTTGCATTATCATTACTATAACCCCCTCCCACATTGGGTGTAGGGGGACAATTTGTCTCTCCTAAAAAAAGAGGTTGGTTCCGCCCCTAAAACATATATCTTTTTTGGGCATTTACATACATACTACACAATTCTCTTGTATTTTCATATCTATTACCTAAACATGCATATATTTATGACACCAAGTTGTTATAAGTGTAAAAAGAAAAAAATTATGTGTTATACATGTAAATAAATAAGGATTGGCTGGTATGTGTGCAAATTTCCCCATCTTATGGGGTACCTTGCCATTCTTTGCAATTCCTTGCCTAGCTATTTAAACATTTCCATAACAACAGGAAAGAGGCATCACCCCTGTTGACATAACATTCACCGGAGTTCTCATGGCCTGCACTCACGGCGGACTCGTGGAAGAAGGGAAGCGATTTTTTCGCTCCATGGAAAACGAACTCCTCATCCCTCCCAAAATTCAACACTATGGTTGCATGGTCGATCTTCTTGGACGGGCGGGACATCTAAATGAAGCCTACGACCTCGTAAGAAAGATGCCGATGGAACCAGACGCGGCCATTTGGGGAGCGCTGCTCGGCGCCTGCAGTTTCCATCGAAACGTTGAGCTCGCCGAGATGGCCGCAGAGTTTCTTTTCAAGCTTGAACCATGGAATCCAGGTAACTATGTTATTCTTGCAAATGTTTATGCGTCGGCGGGATGGTGGGATTGTGTTGCTAGGGTTTGGAGGCTCATGAGGGGGAGGAAAAAGAGGAAGGAGGGTGGGTATAGTCTTATTGAATTGGGTGGGAAAATGCATAAGTTTTTAGTGGAAGATAAATCACACCCAAATTTTAGAGAAATATATGAATTTTTAGATGAGATTTATGTCATGATGGGATTAGTTGATGTGGATTCAGGTGGTGATTTTATTGATTATGGTTTCAATTAAAATGGTGAAGGGAATGGGTGTTAGAAGAGTTTGATTTTTGTGCTCAATTCTTTGTGTTTGTTAATAATTTTATTTATAATATATTTTATTGGTATTATAAAAAAGGTTATCTTGTTGATCGCTCATTTTAATGGAATGCACGAATCTTGAAGCCATTTGATATGATCAAATTAAAAACTAAGGTGATCACCCATAAATTGTATGATACCATACACCTAAAAGCAAAATAATATGGTTGTGTATTTATAATATGGCAAGACTATAGCAATCTACTTCTAAACTTTATATGATAGCTTTCATGAAAATCATGTATGTGTTCTTTTGATCATGCAACAAAATCAAAAAAAATGCATACAATGATGAATGAGCATGATTTATATATATCATTTAAGCCATGTGCAACCTCAAACATTTTCTTATAATTGATTTTGCCTGTAGTGCGATTATTAATAAATTATTTTATAGAAAAAATGCAATTCTCCAATTCATAAAATCTTGTCTAAAAAACATTTTAGTTGTTAGGAATTATCTCCTTAGATTAAGGAAATATTTCATTTCTTATTTTATATTTATTTCCTTGGATTATGAATTATTTATTTTCCTATTTATGTTATTTCTTTTATCTCCAAATAATTAATATGATTTGATTATTGGAGATGTTCGGTGATATATATTTCATTTTCATGTTGTTTATTTTTATTATTTTTCCTATTATATGATTCTTGTAAATGTTATTTATACTCCCGTTCATATTAATGAAACAATTATGTATTCTGCTTATTCTGAATTTCAACATGATATCAGAGTCTAATTTTGTATTCTAGCCACCGATCTTTCTTTGAGAATTGTCGGACTCCCTTCTTGTCATCTTCTATGCAAGAGGGAGGGGCACTCATCTTGGTATTTGAAACAGCGATTTTTTCTTCTTCGATTTTTTCTTCTTCTCTCTCTGCAAGCTTTGTCTACTGGTCGACCCTTCATGAACTGGGAGATTTGACTCTGTCGACCTCCAGAAAATCTATAGCCAGCGATGGATCCAGCTTCATCGATCAACATGCCGGTAAAATCCATCGCCGACCCTTTCTCCTGCAGTATTTTTTTCTTCCCTGCCCAAGCGTTAGGGGGAGCTGCGTTTCCAGTCAGTCATTTCTCCTACAGTATTTTTTATTCACTGCCCAAGTGTCAAGGGGAACTGAGTTTCCAACCGGCCCTTTCTCTTGCTGTATTTTTTCTTCCCTGCCCAAGCGTCAAGGGGAGCTGTGTTTCTGTCCAAGCTTGAATCTACTTCTCTTTATGTCGAAACACATAACGGACAAAACTCAAAATTCAACCTAGTCCGAATCTAGCAAATTCGACAATTTATCTTCTCTCTATGTCGAAACACATGACAGAAAAAACTCAAAATTCAGTCAAATCTGAATCTAGCAAATTCGATAATTTATCTTCATCTCTCTATGCCGAAACACGTGGTAGACAAACTCAAAATTCAGTCAAGCCTGAATCTAGCAAATTCGATAATCCGAAAAATTTTACTTTCAAAGCTAACCAAACAACACTTCACATCGCCTTGAACCCGGTATATCATGAGCGAACAAAGCACATTGAGATTGATTGTAATCTCATGCGGGAGAAGGTTCAAGAAGGAATGATAAAGTTGGCTCACGTGTCGACTTTAGAGCAGCCAACGAACATTTTCACAAAGCCACTAAACACTTCTAAATTCTTGATACTACTAAGCAAGTTAATAATTATCAACATACATTTCAAACTTGAGGGAGAGTGTTAGAAATTATTTCTTTAGATTAAAGAAATATTTTCTTTTCTAGTTTATGTTTATTTCCTTGGATTAGGAATTATTTGTTTTCCGATTTATGTTATCTCTTTTATCTTCAAATAATTAATATAGTTTGATTATTGAAGATATTTTGTGGTATATATTTCTTTTTCATGTTATTTATTTTTATTGTTTTTCCTATTATAAGATTCTTGTAAGGGTTATTTATACCCCCGTTCATATCAATGAAACAATTCTGCATTTCGCATTATTCTGAATTTCAACATTAGTAAATTTCAAAAATTTCATTATCTACCTTAATTTAATAATCATATGAGGATAAATAACTTATGATGAAAATTTGCAAGTAGGTGAGTGATCCCGTTGTTGTTTATATACAACAATATAATAATGTCTTTTATGATATTTTTCATTTATGTTTTCTTATTTTTTTACAACAATACCAAAAACTTGATCATGAAGAAAATAAGAATTTAACTTTTTAATTTATATATATATTAGGATACTACGCAAGTATACATATTGTTATCAAGTAATATAAGACTTTTTGATTAAGATATGAATATCGAACCCACAGGAAAATTCACAATATGCACTTTTGAACAACAACTTTCTATTTCAAAAAGACAATTACTTAAACTATAGATATTTTTATAGTAATTAAAATTCAAATTTTTTTGGTATTTTTAATATTTTGACAAAACGGTAACAACTTCTAAAGATAACTTGAATTTAGGTAAAAGAAAAGTACTTAATATGAAAATATATTTCTCCTTATCATGAGTCAGTAATAAGTATAAGATTTCTGTCATGGAAGTATGCAAATTGTGTTGTGTCAAATATGAGCAATATTATTTTTTATCCTTACTGGAGATGCTATATAGAACATTGACTAATTTAAAGTTTGAATAGTTCTGAAGATCGGCTAGGCAGGGAAGATACTAGCTCTCACTCTAGAGTTCCTTTGGTTCCCTCCACCTGGGGGCTAACATCTCATATCAGAACCTAAAACAATAAATCAAGTTGGGAGCTTTAACATGTCACTTTAAAGTCCTCTAACTCTACACCCTTCTAAGATTATTTCCCTATTTATTTGCACTTAATCATATGAATTACATTCTCATTCATACAACCTTATGTGATTCTTTCCAATTGTTGACTGAGACAATACCAGCCCGGTTCTTACATGTTCTCACAACAAATTTTAACATCTAGATAGGCCAGATCAAGAAGTAAATGAAGTACATGGAATTAAATCATCACAACTTCAACATTAAAGACTAATACTCTCCACAACTTTCATCCAACATTTTAATTACTTATCATTTTAAGGAGGAAAATAAAGAAAACTACTCAAAATCTATGGAGAAAACAAAACCACACTTTAGTTTAAAAGTAGAAATCATTGTCAAACCAACAAGTAGTCTGGATTAAAACCAAAAGTAGTTCAAAAACAAAGATAAAAACTTATCTCAAATCCTCCACCAGACTCTTGAAGTTCCTTTAAATTTCTTTTCTCTTACAACACTCTTAACTCTCACAATAGAAATAATAAAAAAAAGGATAAAGTAAATTTGTGGTGCCTGAAAATCTCTCCAAACATTCCTCCACGAACTTCTTCAAGAACTTCTTAAGACTCCCCATTTTCAAGCACACTTCTAAAAGTCTCATCTTCCTTCTTTTATAAATTTCCAAGAGGTGTCTTGGTAACTCTTCAAAATGTGTCTCAATTCGATGTATTCTCCAAATGATGCCTCCTTTCACAAGTCTTTTAATCATATTTTTGTTTCTAGTTGTCATAACCACCTTCTTTAGCCAATGGGTGAATTAAACCGTCAAATAACTGTCTCTTGTGCTTAAGCGTCAAATAAGATGAATTAAACTGTCAAATAACTGCCTCTGGCGCTTAAGCGTGGGACCTCTGGCGCTTAGACGCAGACTTCTCTATTTCACCAGCGCTTAGGCGCAAAAACACTTTTGCACTATTTTTATATTTTTGCTCCAAATTTGATCATTTTTCACTCCTTTCAGCATTATTCACCTTTTTACTTGTACTGAAACAAAAACACACAAATATCTTTCATTAAAGCGCAATATCTCAAAAATAGGTATAAAAATGTGTCTAAAACATTATATATTTTAGGTGTATATATATTTTAGGTGTATCAGTGTATCAGTGAGCTTAGTTGACTTGTTGTTATGGGCCTTAAGGACCCATGGATCTTACCCATGAGCAAGCCTTCCCTAAATACATATGACCGTATTTTGGATATACATTTAGCTTCTCGATTTTCTTAACTTTTCGGTTAGGGATTGCGAGAAGAATGAGAGAATGAAGATTTTCAATTTCACATTACTACAAAATTATTCATCTCTTGTCGTCATTTACAAATTAGTTTAAAAGATCTTCAAAGCACAAATGCAATATGATTCATAAATAGATTTTCCTTGACCTAGGGGCACTCTGACTACATCTACGAGGAATTAGGCTGTCTTACACTTATCTTCGTGCTAGGACTGACTTTTGCCTAAGACCACTATGTGCTACACATGTAGGGATTAGTCTACCAAGCTTTCAGACGAGTGCGATCAACTTGTTCTTGTGAGCCTTGGCTTTTCTATAGGAAGGCGTTTATTATGAATCTTTAGTTATGTTCATTGAGACTTGATGGAATTGCACCCTCCCATGAGGGTTGTTAGTTGTCTGAGTTGTTTTACGATGTGATATGATTTTCTTAGTAGAGTTGGATGTAAGTATGAAAGATTAAGATAAAAAAAATTAGATTTGGGACTTCTCTGTGCTTTATGGTATTTTTGTCAAATAATAAGTGTCCTATCGTGTTTGTCATGATCTTGCATATGTGTGTTCTAAACGTCCATCATTACGTTGTTATGATTTACAAAGAAAAGAAAGTTAATATTAAAAAATAGCATAAATTATGGTGGTTATCAAACTTTAAAGGTGTTCTCCTTTCCAGGCCTATAAAAGACGTTTTGTGGAAGCCGCAAGATCCCAATTTGATGAAGGGTGACTCCTTATTGTGACTTTTAAAAATTTTCAAATATGTCGTCTCGCGATGGATAAGGTATCCATGAAAGGGATAAAGATCTCTATGTTGCACCTTCCGGTCAAAATTTCTCAACAAAAGTTGATGGAAATTAAGTATATAGAGGAGGAACAACGTAAAAAGACCAAAGGTTATGGGAAATGGAATGTCACATAAGAAGGTATCCTTTTAGAGACCATGAAGGTGCTTGATCTGGCCATGGGTACAATGGAGAAGGCTGGCTCAGACAGCGGGACGACATTGGCTCCTTTGGAGAATTATCTATCCGGAAGCCCATTAAAGTAATTAACTCGCCCATAAATTTTTTTAATTGATCGTTTAAAACAACAATTTAATCTATTAACCCTTTAATCCTTTAATTAATCCATTAAAGCATTTAATAAGATAATGAATTATGGATTGACGGACGGACGGACACACACACAGCACACGTACACACGTGTTGTGTTAATGTATTTATCTTTGTATGCATGTGTGTGCATAATTATATGTATGTATGTATGTGAATCTGCATGGATATGTGTACATGTGAATGTGCAAATGAATAAGTATACTCAAATTAAAAATATAAAAGCCATATGTATTTACTTCATGCAAAATGAATATATGTGATATTTCCATATTTAATGTATAGCTCATGTTTATTTTCTAAATGCATGTAATGTAAGTGGTGTATGTGTAAAAGCACAAAGAATAAGATTAAAAAAAAATGTGTTGTGCTTGCATGTTGTGACATTTCTTGTGATTGCATGTATATGTGTGCATGATTTGATGGTTTACTTTTATTTTCTTATAAGTTGGATGAGTTTTCTTTCTTGCAAGTTGGAATGTATGATTTGGAAGCTCCATTAGTCATGACTTTAGGTTAACTCCGAAGTGTGTGTAGGAGGAAGAATTGAGCTTCTTAGGCTAATAGAGAGAGCCTAGTGTTTTTCATTAAATAAAAAGAATATATATATATATATTAAATGTGCTCTAAAGTTATATATTTTTAAAAATATTTTTAAGCTCATCAAAATATTTTCTATATTAACTAAATATGCTCAAAATTGTAAATTTTTGAAATTTAAGAAAGCTCAAGCTCAAAGGATGTTTCTCTAAAGAAATCAAATAAATCTTTTAAAAGAATTAAAGTTAAAATCTTTTATAAAATCAAACTCTTTTAATTAAAAAAAAAATTAAAACTAAACAAAATTTTAAAACCAATTTTAAAAATCAAAATAATCTTTTTAAATTTTGGTATTAAAAACCCCTTTTTCAAAATTCAAAATATGAAAATTAAGAAATTTTTACTTAAATTTTTTATAAACTCTTAAAACACTAAAACTTTTAAAAGACTTTCACAATTATTCAAGTTTTAAAATAAACTCTTTTTAAGATCAACTCAACTTAAAGAAATCTTTCTCAAAGAAAACTTTCAAACTCCTATTGAGCTTAGGAAAGAAAAAAAGCAAGAATTTGTCAGCTTTGTTAAACACTCTCAATTGTTTAGTCTAGGTAAAACTTATATATTCACTAGCATAAGTGTCTCCAGAATGAACATGTTTCTCCCTTGAAACATGTGATTTTGTAGCCTTGGCCTTTAAGTATATAACTCTTGGGTGATTTTAAATCTACATGATTCTTATATAAGCTTCGACCTGTCTCTATTGGGGGACCTTGTCTTACTCAGTCTAGAATCAACTAGTTATGGCTCACAGTGCAACAATTTGTCCCTCTTTTGGGAGGGGTCATACAACATCATCACCATGATCAAGCCCAGAACTTTTAAGCTCAAGATTCCAAAAGGGAAGACCCTGCCCTAGACTTGAAATGCAGAGAATCTCTGCAAATACTATGAGTAATAGTCCAGTCGTGTAGTCTTAATTCTACGTCCATTCTTGTACTTTGTTTTCACAATTGTTGTGTGTGTGTTTGTCAGTGTTTTTTATGTTCCTTTTCACAGTTATTTCCCTAGCAGCGTCAATGTTCCAACTTATTAAGTGAGCATGATTCCCTTTCTTTCCTCTGCATGGTTGACACCTCCAAAAAGTATAACAGTTCATTTGCGAGCCACCTCGACCTCTCGACCCACCAATTAAGCTATTTCGGCTGCATATTAGTCAGAGCACGATCAATCCTAGGGGTATTCAATTCAACCTCTTCTATATGGGTTAACATCACTGAGTTTTGCTCTACTAAACAACCCCAAATAGGTTAGCAGACCTTGGTGTGCTACATGAAATCCCTTCCATGTAGACTAATAAGCAAGCAACACTCAAAAAAATAACCTTAGAAGTGTTAAAAGTCCTAAACGAACATCAATTGTATTCTCTCAAACGGACTAACATCATCAAGTGATACTTCGATACATAGCCCCGAGTAAGTCAAAATTTGTTGGCGATCTTTTCTCACAACCACCTCCTTACGAATTAAACCCTATAAATGATATCTCGTATCCGATATGATTCAAAATGAAAACATAATACATTATTGTCATTAGAAAGATGCACAAACGAAAGAAAGATTCACGGGAGGCAAAGAGCCATTGAAATAAAACCACTAAACAAAGTCACCCACAGATACATCAATATAAATTTGGAAAACATTTAGAAAAAGAAAAAGCTAAGAAGAAATGGCTACATCTGTCCAACTCATACAAAATGACGAAAAAAAGAAAAATAGTGCTACGCAATGTCGATGTTCTCCTCCAGCTCATCGTCATGAGAGAATACATTCTTCAACTCACGCTTCTTGTCATCGTCGTCAAAATCTGAAGGTGGGTTCATGAAGGTTTGACTAATGGTATGTCCTTCCCTAACAACCTCAGCCCGATGTTCCACGACTCAACTCCTATTCAAAATACTTGAATGAATCCTTCATTAGTGAACCATCTCTGTTGCTCTTTTGCCTTGACATCCAGTTGCTGATTGCGAGCATCATGGACACAATCCCAAATGAAGGATTTGAACTCAATTCTGCTTCTAAACTTCGCGTCCACTCTCTGCTCAATCCTAATAATGTTTACTCTCCTATCAGACCTTAGCTGTTGGGCCTCCTTCTCTAGGACTGACACCCTCAACCACAAAGCCTATATGGTCTTATTACTTTAATTTAGGTCAACACATGCCTCTATTAACTCCTCCTGAGTCTTCTTTAGGTCTTGATGATGTGCGAGAGCAAAGTAGCTATTATAGATAGCTTTGTCCTGGACTTCATCAATTAAGACTCCAAGATCGTGACATCTTTAGCTCCGAAATCATATCAGTGCTTATAATCACCGTGAAAGAACTTAAATCTTGACAAACTTAGAGTTCCAGTCATCCCAAAGTAAGACCAATCCCCATATGGAGTTCCATAATCTTATTCAGTTGGAAAGATGGTCTGGTATTAAACAGATGAAAGAATTATGCGGTAATAATAAAAAAGAGGGGGGAGAATAACTTACGAAGCCCTTGGTCTCCTGTAACCTGATGCAAGCATGAGTCCACATTCTGTAGGATATTAATCTTTGAAGGGCTAGGAAGAATTCCTTGTCTCTTTTCTCCTCCTATGCTGCTTCTGAGAAGGTATTTCATAGTCGTTGCTTGGTAAGAGATGCTTTACGGGTTCCACAAGAGCTAACTTAAGGGGCTTATTCTTAGATTTATTTAATGTCACTAAAGAAAATTGCTCAAAGTGAAAGGAAAGCTCGACCATGAATAAGCATTCCTTGCTCACAAACTTGTATAGGTGTTGCACCTCTAACTACATCTCCATGAGATCTCGAAATTCCAGTGTCTACAGTGTTACTTCATCGGTGGTTTGGAGGGAAACAGGTAATTGCTAAGACTTTCCTAATTTCTCATGGAATTCCCAGTCAATTCAAACAAAGAAAAATCTTACGAATCACTGAGTTATAGGATTATTCAGGCGGAAATCCTATGGTTTGTTTCCGAAAAGCATGTTTCCATTCATTTTTCTCTTTTTTATTTTAAAAGGAGTTGTCTACTTGTCAATCGTCGTATGCTTTCCTTATTCAAATAAATCTTCTCCTGAATCATATCAGTAATTCGAAGAGGAGAGTAATTAAATAAGAAGGGACATGCGACAAAGTGACAAACAAGAGAAAAAGTAAAATATGAAGAGTCTTCGTGCGATAAAACTCACAAGAATAAGTCAAGAATGTCCGCCCCAACAAGCTCGGGCGGAGACACATTGGACTGATATATGCAAAATAAGTATCTACGTATATTACCCATAACCAGAGAGTCAGGTTTATGTACATGTTTTGTGGTCATGAGCGCTCCCAAAGGAACGTCTTCCTACTGGTTAATTACATCTTGGGGGATACCTAAGAATACTCTCGATAAAAAGAGTTTCGCTTATATTATCATGCACCTAGGGAAATAAAGATAATAGTTAAAAAAATGAAGATTCACACATGCATGCTCCTACCACTCAATCTCTGGGCTGATGATAATAATTAAAAAAAAAATTCATTTCTCACGCCTCCCCCATGGCTATAAAGATGGCAAAAAAGAGAAAGAAGAGGAAGAGAAGAGAAGGAAGAAAAGAGAAATCTAATTTTTCATAGAGCCATCAAACCCACCTTCACCCTTGAGCAAAGTTGTGCTCCTTGACCTGAGAAACACAACCACATCTACGACATTCACCGGAAAACGCCGACGTCGCCGGAAAAGCCAAAACCGAGCTAAATTCCGGCGAACCTCCGACCCGAAGAGAAAATCACGTCAAAACGATGCCACAAGGAGTTGGATAAGCTCAGGAAGACCTACTTATTCAAACCTAATTGAGGACAAATCTCTTAGGCTCAGATATATCTCTTAAATTGAAATAATAATCTCAAACTTCCCTCACTTCCAGATTGAAAATGAGATCACAAAATACTCAAGTATTCGTATGGATGTGATCTACTCTTCGAGCTGAACAAAACGAGCCCAAGAACATAAAATTTGGTTGAGAATCGAAGAAGGACGGACTCCGGAAAGTTTCAACCGTTGGTTTTCCTCCATGCATGCGTCCGGGTCCGGCTTCGTGGGCGTCGCGCGAGGGAGGAAGGAGATGCCTCAAAATTTCTTTTTATTTTATTATTTTATTTTAAAAATTATAATTAAAATTAAAAATCGCATAACTTTTTATAGAAAACTCAAAAAAAAAACTGAAGATGCTATGAACTCAGAAAAAGAAGGAGAATTTTTTAAAACTAAAATTATGATTTTTCATCAATTAAATATTTTTTAATTCATTTTTAAAGTTCTGGAGTATTTAAATCATAAAAATTAAATATAAATGAGAAAAATATGAAATTTGGCAGAAATATTAAATGTCATTGGGTAAAGCTTCTCGGATTTTTCCAAGACGTTTTAGTTTCTCTGTATTTGTATTTTGATTTTTTTAACGAAACGACATATTTATGTAAATTAAAAATTATAAAAATTATGAAAATTGTAAAACT